CATTTTACCAGTTTGAGAGAGGTGCAGAAATCTTTCCTCCCTTTACCCTTCTCCATCTGTATTATTGTTTTAAACATTTCCTCTACATACATTGAGAACCACATCAGACAGTGCTGTAATTTTTGGTATCACTGTCAAACATAATTGAAAAAAACAGTATCAGAAGGAAAGTCTATTGTATCTACCTGTATTTTTGCTCTGTCCACTGTACTTTATTTCTGATGTTATAAGATTCCTCCTATTACTATTTTTTTTTTATTTTGTGAACTTTCTATTCTTTAAAGGTGGGCATCCAAGAATTACTTGATTTTTCCATTACTCCTCATGGATATTTTCATTGGATATAGATTTTTGAGATGACAGCTCTTTTCTTTTAGTACTTGGAAAATATTGTGTCACCTTTTTCTGACTTGCATGGTTTCTGATGAGAAACCCATTGAAATTCAAAAAATTATGCCCCTATTAGAGGGGTGTCATTTCTCTCTTGTTGCTTTCGAGTTTATTTTTTTCTTTGTCTTTAGGTTTTAGAAGCTTGATTTTGATGTGTCTTTGAATTTCTTTGGGTTTGTCCTGTTTGGAGTTTGCTTAGTTTCTTGAATCTATAGGTTTATGCATCAAATTTGAGAAATTTTCAGCCTTATTTCTTTATTTCCTAGAATAAATATTTTTGTAGGAAAGATTACCAGAAGTGAAAAATCTGGGTAAAAGGATTCAACATTTAAAATTCAGTAGGTATTTTCAGATAACCCTCTCAAATTTTATGGCAGTTTTTATTCCTGCCAACAGTGAATAAAAGTGTCTGTTTACCCACCCCCTTACCAGCAGAAGTTATTAATCTATTAAACTTTTGCCAATATCCTAATATCCTAAATGAAAAAATGCACCCCTGTTTTAATCTGCATTTATTTTTAGTGAAATTGAGCATATTTTCATGTTTATTGACCATTTGTATTTCTTTTCTAATTGTTCATTTCTTGCCAGTATTTTTGATGGGTGGTTCATCTTTTCCTTGTTGATCATGAAGTTCTCTTTGTACATTTTGGAAATAATTTTTTTTCTGCCATTTGTGTTGCCAGTGTTTTTTTGCCAGTTCGTTGTTAGGACTTTTAACCTTGTTTTGGTTTTGTTTGTTTTGCCAAATAAAATTTTAAGTTTTTCAGCTACTAAAATTTATCGAGCCTTTTGCTGTCTCTAGATTTTTTGTCCTGTTAAGATAGTATTCTCCTTCTGCAAGATTATAAAAATATTCTTTCATATATGGCTAGTATTTCCATGGTTTCATTTTCACAATTAAATCTTGGATCCATCTGGAATATATTTTCATGTAAAAGTGAGGTAGAGACTAGCAGACCTTTTCTATCAGGTTTTAATACAGGGATGTAGGAGGGAGGAGATAGAGTTTATGAGAATGTTCTATGTCTGGGAGGAGAGAAATATTGGAAAATGGTAAAGTCAAAGGGCTGTCTCCTTTTTTCTCAATTTTCTCTCTGAGTGCTACCCAAAGGAAAGGTTAAGTTAATTGGAGATGTGAAGATTGAGAGAAAAAAATTCAAAAATTTTTGGAAAAATCATAACTTACTCATTAACTTTTTAAAAGTTATGGTAAAATTGACATAAAACATTGTATTAGTTTCGGGTGTACAACATAATTATTCAATATTTGTATATATTGTGAAATGATCACAATACCTCTAGTTACCATCCATTGTCATAGTAGGAAAAATGAAATTCCTCGTTTTGTGATTTTTGTGTTGCTGTTGTTTTGGTAGATGGACCTTTTTCTCTCTTGACTAAAGAAGGCATGTAGTGACTTGTGTTAATACTATATTTCCTTTATAGTGCATCCCAGTGAGACACTTGTCCACAGTTATGATCCTTAAAGGAAGATACTCATTTACTTAGTTAATAATTATTTTTTAATTATCTGTCTAGGAGGCTGGCATGGGGTAATGCTTATGTGTTTGGTCTCTGAAATCAGACTGCTTGGGTTTAAATTCCAGTTCAATAACTTATTAGTTGTGTGATCTTAGGCAAGTTACTAAACTTCTCTGTATTTCAAGTTTCTCTTCTGTAAAATGGGGGAATTAACACCTCACTATATTGTTTAGAGTGTCAAAACAGTGTAGTAAGCAATTGACAAATGTGAACTATTATTAACACTAATCACTAGATATAAAGCACAAAGAGATATGGTCCTTGTAGTTATATACCTTGCATTCTTGAATGAGGATATGGGTTAAAAAATTATAAATAGCAATAATTACTCTAAAAGAAACATAAGGGGCTGAGATAGAGTATAAGGGAGTGAGGGGATAATTTTAACTTAGATAACATGGTCAGGGAAGTCTTCTCTGAAGAGGGGATATTTAAGCTGAGACTTGAAGCATGAGAAAAAAACCAAGTACTTAAAGAATGGAGGGAAGAATATTCCAGACAGTGTGAACAGCATGTGCTAGGATCTAGAGGAGGTTTTTTTTTTTTTTTTTCCATATAGTCAAAGCTTTGAAAGAAGACCATTATGGCTAGAATTGGGTGAATGAGAGAGTGGTATGAGATGAGGTTGATGAGATAGGTGGGACTTGTAGACCAGATTAAAGAGTTTAGATTTTATCTGA